TTTCTTTCAAAAATTTAAATATCCATTGAAAACAACTTGTTTTCTTGTCATCATACATTAGAAATGAATAATAATTAATCTTTTCACAAACGAATACAATCTAATAACTGAGTCCGGTTTTTCATTCGAAAATTGCGAATGTGTACGTGACCTGTTGAATACCATCATTTTCAAATACAAAAGTCATCATAATTTTTTAACCACTGGGGTTAATGTAGTAGAACAAGTTCCGTAGTTTTTCTGTCAATTTCTTTAACTTTTGAGGTTATTTTTAATTTTTTTTTTTTTTGACAAAACATAAAAGTAAATTAGTTTTTTTGCTTATTTTTTCTTGTTTTAATTTTTTATTGACCATTAAATTATACAACACAAATTCACTTGCAGTACTAGTATAATGTTAAAAACAAAAAGAGTAAAGAAAAACAAACACAAAATTTGGAATGAATAACTTACACATTTTTAAAGTAATAGAATTGAACCAACTCACTAAACCAAAAACAATTGAAATTTGAATTTAATTAAGGCAAACAAAAATATTGTTTTATTGTAAATAATGAAAAGTCATAGAAAGGGAGATGATCCCAGTACACAGAAGAATGGGGTGAAATTACAAAGTGTTAGTAAACAGAGAATCCGACAAAATTTGATAATTTATAAAACTCTTAGAAATTACTAAAAATGTAAATTAGGCTTTTATAATAAAAGTTTAGTTGCTGAAAAAGTTGTAAGCTTAATTTTAAATTTTTATGCATATCGAATCGGCCGAAAATGAATACAATAGACTGACTAGTGATAGGTCAGGTTTGTATTTTGCTTAAAATAGTATTTTGTTATAAAATAGTAATTTTGAATTAAGCAAATGTGAAGTTTTATCAAAACTCTTATGGTTTGTAAAATTTTAGGTCAATCACAATACGGAAATTTTTGATTGAATCCATGTCGCAGTTTGTCTTATATGTACCCATGACAAAATTCCTACATATAGTACCTAACTAATGTACATTTTGTCTACTTTAAATCTATGCAAATAAAATTGCCTTCGTTTTTCTTACCCCTTTTTACGGTAGACATACATAAAGAAAATATCTTAAACTTTAGCGTTTATATTCATAGAAATACTCATAGGAGAACAAAACAATTTTTATAATGAAACCGATCATCCACTCGTAACACTAACCATGCCGCGAAATAAACAAAATTGTAATAGCTTGACAGTTCTTTTACGGAACTTATTTTTAAATTAAACGGAATTTAGCTCCAGTCTGAAGATTGAAACGAGTATACACAAATAAATATTTATATACATTTATTCCGACAGGTTTTGTTCATTTTATCCATCAGGTCTCTGGAACCAGTTGAAATTGAAATTTTTGTTTGCATACAATAGGATTTTCTTGATTACTGGGCAGCCGAAGTATAAACCCACTTTTACTGTTAAAATAGAAAATAAAAAGAATTACAATACAAAGCTAATAAATCAAAATTTTACGTTTTTAAAACACAAAACTTAGAAATTTCAAGTTTATTCGAAAATTGTATATCTATAAGAATTAAGCGACATCTATTGTAAATAAATAATGAAATCTTTGACAACTATCAATAAAATTTCGTATAGAAATGAAAAAATTCAACACATATATCCTAAAGTTTTTCAGAACAACTTCATCTATTTTCACATTATGTTAGATTACATCTTAAAAAATCTCATAGTGTGACATTGAATTGCGTAATTAAATATAGGTGGAAATATATTATGTTAAACATGTGTACGAATGCTTGTACATATGTAAAAACTCATAACCTATATGATTACTTTTTGTTGTTTTCTTGTATTATTCATAATGTTTTCGGTAATTTAAAACATTTCTTTTGTTTTGTTTTCCTTTTCTTATTTCTCTGGCCGCAAAGACAATAGAAATCCAAACGATCATTACTTTGTAATTACACGATTCACCTGTATACAATTGAATGAATTTTTTTGTGGATTTTATATGTCGCACACTTAAAATCGTGTGTAATTAAAATTTAAATATCACCAACAACACCTTTAATATTTTCTCATAATTTCAAACAAATTATTAGATAATTATTTTTGTTTTTTATTGTTTTATTATTAAATTTTAATTAATAAGACAAAAAGTCTTTGTTCCATTAAACAAATAATTGAGAGAAAAAAAATCATCAAAGTGTTAAGAACCTTTTTATAAATTTTTGAGATTGTGGAATTTATTTACATATATATACTCGTATAAGAGCGTTAATATTCGTATCTGATATATTTATTAGCATATTAAAAATAATAAAATAAAAAAATGATTTTACATTCAGCTAAAAATTAAACCTCGCGGGTCACTAACCTGTAATATGCGAAGAACAACGAAAAAAAATAAAAGAATTCTCAAACGCCTTTCAGAAAAAGCTTTTTTAGTTCTTTTATTTAAAATCTGCATTTAGTATAAGAAACTAAAAAAAATTTTGAAATTCAAATTGCTATTGCAGCTTTCAACACCTTTGTATACGTAAATTGTATAATTTTAATAATTATTTTTAATTAAAAAATTGGTACAAAATATACACACGCTGTTGCATAAGCCCAACATGCTATTCACAGTATTATCTAATTGCAATATTACTATGAAGGTGAAGTTAGTTCTTAACATTAGATGGGGTTTTAAATGTTGTCTGCATTAAATATTTTATGAATAGATAATGAAAATTTCGAAAAATTTCGAATTCTGTTTTAAAAAGGCATAAATTTAATTTTAGAACTAAAAATTAATAATGAATAAATTTGTTATTGTAACCTAAAATTAAATTATTAGTAAAATAATAAATAAATTTAAATTGAGGTTAAATTGGTAAACTATAATGAAAGCATGAAAAACTCACCACATTTTAAATCAAATATATTATGAACGTAAAAATCAACAGCCATTTACAAAAAATATAGTCTTTGTCCAATGTGATTTCCGTGAATTCCCATTCCAATATTACCAGTTCATATTATGGGGAGTTGACACTTTCTCAAACGCATAAAATGTTATAAAATATTTTGTTGGGGTTGGTCAATGTAAATTATAAATCTGTGTTGCTTTTCTTATTTATTTATAAAAACCAGATTCGCTGTAGTGAAATGAATCTGTCATCGTGATTAAAATTTTATTTTATATTCCCGAATAAGTTTCGGGATTGTAAATAGTTCCTCAATTGTTTATTTTCTCACCCCTAGGAGGAGTATAAGACGGGTACATAATATCGTAAACAAACCCCTATAGATAAGGTAGCCTGCCAGACTTGAAATTTTTATACTTTCAACAGAATCATGTCAAAATTTAATCAATATTCGCCTTACATGATTCCAAAGACATGAATTAATTTATTGAATCTAAACTTCGAAATTAATTTTTTCCAAACATATATTTTAAGAACCAAGGACTTTTCTCTACAAAAATATATAATGTACTTTAGCAATATACGTACTACGTGCGCCATATACTATTGCAATTGTTCTGTAAACTTGTTTGCCAAAAATTGCCATTTGTATAAGATGAAATTCTAAAATTCCAAAGAAAAAAAAAATTAATAAAATTAGATTTTAATAATTCTTATATAGGTATTAATTTTACTTACAAAATTCTCGTTATTATTATAAAGTGTTTCCTTAATTATTATAAATGACTGTTGCTAAAATGATTATTGTATCTTATTTGCATTAAAATTCCAAGTTTTCCTAATTCTTTAAATTGCTGTCATATACCTATCAGTCCATTAATTTGTTGCTTTACTTCAGTCACAAAATAGTAACCCTGCAATATTTGAAATTTTGAAATTAATTTAACAGAAAGACATTTGAACAATTGAAAAATGTTATGAATTAAAAATTATAAAAATAAAATCAAAAAATACCCGTATGAGTGCACCGTACGATCCAGATTTTCTTTTTTTACATATTCTCCTAATTTCACGTACACACTCTATAAACTGTTAGATAACCTTTCCATTCTGATTTCTACAATTAAAGTGATTAAAAATATTATTTTTGTCCGAACACAAATTTTTCACTTAAAATTATTATTTATTAAAATTTTTCTCACATTCTCACTCTCTCTCTCTCTCTCTCTCTGTCTGTCATACTCTCTATTTTCATATTTATTATTAAATAATCAACACAGTTTTGCGCGTGCAATGCATTAGAGTGTAAGATTTTTATTGCTATTTTCGATTTTTTTTTTTTTTTTATTTTCAACAAGGTAAACGTTTCCCGCACTGCATAAAATTTCATTGCATTTGAAAAAAAATCAAACCTAACCTTGGCTTAATAAAAAAAAATCAAAAAATTTTCTTGTTACTTCTTTTAGTTTTTCAACCAATTTTTTTTTTGTTCTTCTTTTTTTCTTGTGTACAATTTTTACTATTAAAGTTTTTTTTTTTTTTTTGAAAAAGCAAAAACAACAAAAATTGCTAGTACATCGAAAAAGCACACAATAATAAGAAACATGGGTACACGGCTACCAGAAGTAGAAGAAAAAATAAAAAAAACAAAATAAAAACAAAAAATTATTTTGTTGATTTTTCTTGTTTCGTTTTGTTCTGTTTTGTTTTTTTTAAGGTATTTTTGAAATGTTTGGTACATTTGATCAGTCAGATTTATTTGGTCGTTTGTAGAGATTAGTTAGAGTTTATCGATAACAGCGCCGCCGCGGTTAAGCGTTTTGTATCTGTTTCCGCGATTTTTAAATTATTTTCTATTCGGATCTTGGATTTTTTTTTTTTATTAATTCCTTTTCAATGGAATTATTTGTAAAAAGAAAAATTACATAAAAATAAAATAAAAAAAACAACAATTATAAAAAAATTTTAAAAATTTCTAGTGATAAGAGAAGAATAAGAATTTAGAAAAAAAAATTAATTAAGTGTTAATTTTAATAATTAAAGAATTTTTTATGAAATAAATATAGAATTTTTAATAAAAAAATCAAAAAAAAAAAAAATTTAACAAAATGTTGGAATTAGCATCACGTAGTGTTCTATTAACGGGTTTAGGAAAAATTTTAACATCATTTTCACCAATAACATTAATATTAATTACAACATTAACAATATTTTTAATAACATATAATCGAAGACGTGCCAGGCTTGTTAAATTAATTGAAAAAATTCCTGGTCCAGCAGCATTACCATTTTTAGGTAATTCAGTTGAAATGCAAGTTGATCATGATGAATTATTTATGCGTATATCTGGTATGCAAAAATTATGGGGTAATCGTTATGGTTTAAATCGTACATGGAACTGTACTAGCCCATATGTTATGTTCTTTAAACCGGAAACAGTTGAACCAATATTAAATAGTATTAAATATGTTGATAAATCACAGGATTATGATTATTTACATGCCTGGTTAGGTACTGGTTTATTAACAAGTTTTGGTAAAAAATGGCATACAAGAAGGAAAATTTTAACACCAGCATTTCATTTTAAAATCTTAGATGATTTTATTGATGTTTTTAATGAACAAAGTGTTATATTAGCAAATAAATTGGATAAAGAATTAAATTCAAATTCATTTAATATTTTTCCATATGTAACGCTATGTACATTAGATATTATATGTGAAACAGCAATGGGTCGTAGTATACATGCACAAGATAATTCAGAATCAGAATATGTTAAAGCTGTTTATGGTATTGGTAGTATTATACAGGAACGTCAAATGAAAATTTGGTTACAATTTGATTCAATATTTAAATTGACAAAAAATTATAAATTACATCAAAAATATGTTGAAATATTACATGGATTCTCATATAAAGTAATTCGAGAACGTAAAGCTGAAATTCAAGCACAAAAAGAGAAAAATAATAATAATAATAATAACGATAATAATAATAATGAATATGATCTATATGATGATTTAGGTAAAAAGAAACGTTTAGCATTCTTAGATTTATTAATTGAAGCATCAAAAAATGACACCGTACTCTCAAATGATGATATTAGAGAAGAAGTTGATACATTTATGTTTGAGGGTCATGACACGACATCAGCAGCTATTTCATGGACATTATTTTTATTAGGTGAACGACCGGATGTACAAGAAAAAGTTTATCAAGAATTATATGAAATATTTGGTGATGATAAAGAACGTCCAGCAACAATGAAAAATCTATTAGATATGAGATATTTAGAATGTTGTATAAAGGAGGCATTACGTTTATTCCCTAGTGTACCAATGATGGCACGTTCAATTGATGAAGATATACAAGTTGGACCATATACAGTACCAGCTGGTACAACAGCTATAATCTTAACATATATGTTACATAGAAATCCAGATGTATTTCCATATCCAGAACAATATAATCCAGATAATTTCTTACCAGAAAATTGTGTTGGACGACATCCATTCGCTTATATACCATTTAGTGCTGGACCAAGAAATTGTATTGGACAAAAATTTGCAATATTAGAAGAAAAATGTGTACTATCAACTATTTTAAGAAAATATAAAATTGAAGCGGTTGATCGCCGTGAAGATTTAACATTGCTAGGTGAATTAATTCTAAGACCGAAAGATGGTTTAAGAGTTAAAATAACAAGGCGAGAATAAAAAAAAAGCAATAAACAATGAAAATAAAAATTTATATGAAATTTGTATATATGTATCTGTGTACATATTATGTAAAATATTTAAAATTTATTATTAATGTATAAAATTCTAATTGTATATAGTTAAAATGTGAAAAAAAAAATAATAGGGTTTATAAGAATAATATCCAAAATAAAATAATATCAAATTAAATACTTTGACACTTATATGCAGATGCGTCCAGAAATAATTTGTAATTTGTACGACTTCAATATTCGAGATTAAACAGATTGAAATAGTTGATCCAGTATAAAATTAACTCTGGTATAAAATTAATTAAGGGGCTGACATTCGTTTTTTTTTTCAAGTGTCAGCTCTTGGGAGTAATTTCGGCTCTTTAATCAGAAAAAAAACAATCTACCTAAACAGTCTTAAATATACACCATACATTCGAATAAAAATTCAACAAATTAGAGAAGGATATTCTCAAATAAGAAGCACTTGGAGATTGCGAAGAAATGTCACTTGTCAAATTGTTCGAGAGAGAGCAAATAATTTCACTATAATAAAAATTTCTTATTTATCCAGGTTCAGCTGTTAATAATTGACAAATGCAAACACAAATCATGTTCCGTCCCGTCCATTATTTTTGACATTATGCCCATTTCAAAAGGATTTTATTTTTAAGATTTCAAATTTGTATATATAACTAGAACTACATAAAAAAAATTTATTTAATAATGGTATATTTAGAAGTTGTTTAATAATATTTTAAGAATGGTTCTGCAGAATCTTATTTCATAAAAATTTTTGGTTTTTTGTCTAGTTGCATAAATCTGCATATAAATTTCACTCAGAAATTAAATAAAACTCGATTTTGCACGATTATAAAATTAAATATTAAAAAAAAAAACTGTGATGAAAAAACATATACCAAAATATTTTTGCAATAGCGAACTCATTACTTTCCCAAAATATAAAAAAATCTTTAACAACTTTTATTACATATATGTAATAATGTTACACATATATGTATTTATTACACATATATGTAAATATTTATATAGAAATAAATTTAATAATATATTTAATAATTATAATATAAAATAATGCTATTTGTTTATAAAACAAAATTTGTAAATTTATAGACTAAGAATCTTATGAAATAAGGTTCTGAATTCTAACAGTAAAATGCTTTAATTTAGAGAAACAAAAATAAAAGATTTAGGCAATTAATTAAATATTTAAAAAATTCAAATACAATTTAGATTTCAAATAATTTAGATTTTAAAGTGTTTTGGAGTTATTTATGAAATTGTAAATATTATAATAAATATATTTAATTAATAAGTACTAGTATGTATGTATGTTTGTATATGAATTAAAAAAACAAAAAAAACAAGAATATTAAATATAATTTTGTTTAATTTTTGTATTGATGTTTAATTTTCATCTATAAAAAAAACAATCCAGAACGGTATGACAGCGGTTGTCACGATAAACTTAACAAGGCCTTAGAATTACTCATGACGTTGACGTAGTAGTATGCAAGAACATTAACAATTTTACATTATTTAATAATTTGTTTTTAAAATACAACAAAAATTTAATTTCAATACAAAATGTGCAATTTGACAGATTTTGTATATTTCAAACTCAAAAGTTAAAATATCATTTGTATCTTTATTAACTGCTAAAATTAATTTTACCTGTTTTAATAATTGTTCAATATTTACCGAAAAATCCAAAATTCACATACACACACAATATATAATTTTTAAAATATTTAGCTCTACTATCACATTATGAGTATGTATGATATATGTAAATAATGAAAAATGTGCAATCGGCTTAAGGGCTAAATGTCAAATTTATGTAAACAAAATAATGATAATTTATAAAATTAAAGCCGATAATGTTCAGCCGACAGTTTGCATTTATAAAAATGCATTAATGACGAAAAAAAACCCATTTCACAAATTTCTATCGGTACATTTTAAAATTATATCACTTAAAAAATTGGATTTTTATTTGCCAATATTAATGTTTTGCATACATACATATATGTTTGTATGTATGTACAATTCCGAATAAAAAATATTCATTTTATTTATTTCCAATGTCAACATTTCTTTACCCTCCAGCTATTTGAAAAAAAAAAAAAAAAAATATACCCAAAAAAAAATTCAAGTATAACAAGACCTATACGTAATTACATCACGCGGTTTTACTGTTAAATAGTTTTGATAAATTTACGCACATTTTTTTTTTGTTTTTGTATTTTTTAACTTTTATGCAACTGAAAACGTACCTACCCTTATGTCAAATTTTAATGTCATATTTTTTATTTGTTTATTTTTGGATATAGAAAACTTCAAAATTATTTTTATACTATGATCGTGTGTGTATATTTTTAACCTTGCTATAGTTTTCTTCAATTGAAATGAAAATTTATTAACACGCGCTTAAATTTTTAAAATTCTACTTATAATAATAATAAAAAGTGGCGTTATTAATAGTTCGTTGCCATAAAATTAGCCATAATGAATTAAAAGTTTGTGTGTTTTATATAGAAACCAATACTCAGATATTGAAATTATTAAAAATTTATCCAATCAAATTACCCAATTTTGATTTGCCAAGATTTGTTAAAATTATTTTCTTTCCTAGAAAAATTTATGGTAAATTATGCATTGTTTTTTAAAATACAAATGATAGCACAAATTTTCTTTTCATGAGCACTTAAACATTCTTTATATTAATTCTTTTAACTTAATATAACAATAACATTTTCGTACCGAATATCTAGCCATTCAATACAAATTTAATAATTGGTCCAATTGTCAAATTGATTCTTAAACCCTTTGGGTAAAATACCGAAGGCATGATTCATGAACAATTGGCTTTAAAAAATTTATTCAACCACATTTGAGGTGAAAGAACGAAGTACATTCATAAAACAAATGAAGTTTTGTTGATAGAAGATCTTATCAATATAAAATTAGTTCTTCAGATGCATATTTATTCGACTACAGTGCTGGAAAAAAGAAATGAAATACATCAAAAGAGTACTAGAAGCAAAGATTTACTACATATACATATATAAAAAGATTATGTACCTCTAAATTTAGAGCATCAATATAACAATTAAATAAGTACCGCATACAACCATTCCATCAACTCAACTAAATTCAGTAATAAAATGAATGATGATAGCTTTTACTATTTTATTATTCACCTCAATTCAGTAGTAAAGTTATAAAGTACACGAACTTAATAATAAGAGTTAAAATAATTAAGATGAAATAAATTATAATTAAAATTAATTCTAAATCGAAAAAAATATCAATTAACTAAAGTATAAATTATAATAAATTAGTGTGAATTTTTTATATTCAACATGATTTATGTAGATTTCTTCCTGTATAATTACATATAATTTTATTCTAACTATAACAGAATAAAATGACGCCCTATGTTCATCTACATTATATAGGAAGTCGAAAATCAGTAGAATAAATAAAGTTGGGTCAAACCAATGGTTTGTATTGTAGCACTTTTCCCTTCAACAAGTGAAAATTCTGCTTTTAAATGCAATCTATGTGTACCTACCACACTATTAAAATTATTTTCATTCATATATAAAACTATTTCTAGGATTGCCTATATTTAGGATGACGCATATATGCAGTCTTTGAAATTAAGCAAAAATTAATATAAAAAGGGGTTAACATAATGCTCTATTTTAAGGTTTAATTGTGTGAGTTAAGAAAAATAATTATATTTTTTAATTTCACGGAATTTACCGTTAGCTTTTTGCGTTTATAAAAATTTGAAAAAACTTGCGGTTTCGGAAATATAAGGTGTCAAAAATTCAAATTTTACGAATTTCAAGAGGCGATAACTGGAGAGGGGGTGGAGATGGAAAAAAATTTTCTTCTAACGAAATAAACTATTTATTAAGGTCTAAAATCCCCTAAAATTTCAATCTTCTACAGACTAGGACCTAGAAGAAAAACGAGATCAAAAATTTGGAAAAAAAGACCTTTAGATAACGGTAAATTTGAACGGCCATTTTGTTTTTCTAAAGTTTAACTATAGTATACCGCGCTAGGGGAAGCAAGCCACTGCCTTTCTGCGTTTGAAAAATTTCAAAAATGCTTATGGTTTCATTGTAACAAATATTTAAAAAAGGCCATTTTTAGGGTTTTGGGGGGGTATAACTTCTAGAGGGGGGGAGATAGGTAAAAATTTTGTTCTACGGAAATAAGTTTCTAGTGAAGGTCTATGTACATATGAAATTTCAGCTTTCTATCTTCAAGGGTGTAGAAGTTTTGTAAACAAAAAAAGTGTCCACGGACGGACGGACGGACGGACAGAGTGAAACTAATAAGCACTTTTTTCAAAAAATTTTTTGGAAAAGTGCTAAAAATTAAGAGAATGGGATAGAGGAATTCAATTCTTCCGTTTAATCCATTTCCCATTTATAACACTTACAGCTCTGTGTATATAGCACACTAAATGACTCCCGTCGACATCAGCCTACACAATGAATCAATCGAAATATATTACAATATTTTATGACACACTTTCGTTCCGACAGATGGCTTTATATTTTGAATTGAAAATAAAGGTTAAATTTTCGATACTGTGTGTCAGTTTTTGCCCGTATATAATTTTTCTTAAGCTTGTTTTACTCCTATTAAAGGGAACGTTGAAGGTAAAGGGAAGAAATGAAAATATGGAACGAAAGCATTATCGCTTTATGTCCAAAATGCTAGGTGAACCTCAGACATTAGCGAACTTTAACTAAATGTATACAAAGTTTTGATAAATTACAAAAGGAAATGAAAATTTTCAATTATAAAATTTAATATCGTAATTAGTGCCTCATCACAATTTGTCCTTTATTTTAATTATTATTATTAAAACAGAAGGCTTTTATTTCAGAAATATTTGAATAAAATATAATTTGTACTTTATGATTGCTTTTAATTAATTAAAATAGCATCTTTTGCACTTTTCAACACCAGAACTTTAAAAAAAAAATTTTGTTTATTATTTTTATATTTAGCATAGAACGAATAATACGATTGGTGTCAATGTTGTAAATTAATAGCATGGCGAAAAGCTTGCACAAACCTTTGAAGTGCATTTTCTAACTACAGTCATTTTCTTTGTTTAATTATGCTAAGACTCACGATAAAAACACATAAAAAACATATTAATGCAATTTAAAAGAATAAAAACCTTGAGTTAATTTTCACGTATACTTTTGGTGTATGCGTTGTTTCAATCATATTTCTATAAGATTATTTAAAATTAAAGGAACAGCTATTGTATTCAATTTTATCTTGATTGTTTCTATAATAATTTTATAAATATTCAAAAGATTCTTTACCATCCATTTAACTAGAATTTTTTATCTACACTCTTACGTTATTCTTGTATGGGTAGTCTAATTACTTTGCATCATAGCAAAAATTGTGTAATTTGTCTGAAAGTAAAAATCCCGAAAAAAACTAACAAATATAGAGTTGAGTGTATGTGCTCGTCTCCTGCTTTAGAATAGTAGAAACGAGCACGTACACTAAAAACATCAAACTCATTTTAATGGTAAAACTTCGGTTGACTGTAATGGGCAAGTAACTATTTTATGTAGATTCTAGCAAACATTTTTTATTTTTATTAATGTTATTTTACAAATTTACAGCACAGTCCACCTTAGTAACCCCATTAATTTGATCTAACCATTTTATATTATTTACGAGAAATAAATT